TTATAGTATATTATAATGAAATAATATATATTTTAAGAAACAAACCAGAAAACCCCAACCAAATTTTTCAAAATATTACTCTAATTAAAATACCATAACTAAATTACAACTAAAGTTGCACAATTTTTCTCAATTAAATTTTTTGGGTTGCACCATTCAACTGCCTTTTGTTTATCGAAATTTTTGCAGCGAAAAGGTCTTTGAATCACACGAAGTAACTTTTCTCATTATTTTCTTTTTTATAAACGAGATGTTTAACATTTGCTCCATCCACAATCGATATACAAAACTGTTTAATTTGTTCTGTATGACAATTGGAATTTTTTGTTTTCAATGCTTTTTATTTAAACAAGCAGTTGAACTTATCATTTGAATATCGAGTCAATTTTTATGTTGATTTATAACCTGATTCAACTTTTTGTTATTGTTTTTGTTATTGTTAAAAAATAGAGTTTTTCTTTTGTTGTGAGTAAAAAACAAAGAAAAAATAAAGTTGCACACTTGTTCGGAATGACTTTATATCAGGGTAATTTAAACCGTAACGATTTGTGCACTGCGTGGCATTTTCGTGACGTGGCAAAACAAAAAAAACAAAAATAATTATTTTGTTTTTTATATTTTAGTTTAACTATTTTTTGCTTTGTGGGAATATGAAAAATAAATATAATTTAATAACGTCGAAAACACCGAGTTTATTTATAAATATTTATTAAAAAATTAAAAACAATGTCGAAAGATGAATACACACAACTTGTATTGTTTGAGAGGATATACATAAACCGTTTTTATTGCAAAATATGTGGGAAAATATTAACCAGAAGTGGAATGAATCAACATATCCACTCCATTGAATACACCAAAAAACTATAGACTTGATTTTAAACGTTTATAACTACAGTAAAAATTTTATTTTTATTAAAAAAAGTGCAAGAAAAAGAAGTTCAAGAAGATGAGAGAGACACAAATTTGTTACGACATGTTAGGGAGTGTGAGTTGTTTATTTCGAAAAAAATAATATAAAATGACTTTATTCCAAAAACAGAAGTTATCAATGATATTATAAGTGGTGTCATCGAAGAAATAAAAGTCTATGGTTTACATTTTTATAAATGTTTTTGTTTGTCTAAAACAACAATGAGACGTAGAAGTGATGAAGAATATACAATTAAAAAGAACAAATCAAAGTTATGATCAAAATTGTGTTTTTGTAGCAATATAATGTGATGAATGCTAAATACACAAAGTTAGTAAATGTGTAATGTGGGTGATATTGGTAATGCTAAACGCTGAAGTCAAAGATATTCTTTTAAAGTTTTGGGAAGCCACACTTTCGACTGGAATATCTATTAAAGACAGAATATTTAAGTATTTTCTAGAGTTTGGTGTGGACCGCAATAAAATAAGTATTTGTACGAGTGATGCAGGTTCAAATGTGTATGGTTGTTACAATGGATGTTATGCTCTCATTATGAAAGAAGTTAACTATGAAAACAGATTTTTTATTTGTAATAAAAATAGATGTTTTTGTCATACAATTAATCTGGCGTCAAAAGAACTTGAAAATGATTATTTGGTTATTCGTCTATTAGAGTGGTTAAAAGATATTTGTTATATTTTATCAGAAGATAATGATTGGGAAATGATGGGAGGCGCCACCGTTAGAACATACTGTCCTACACATTTTTAAGTATAAAATCAATTGTAACGTTTTCATATAACAATTGGAAGGAAATTGAAATTTTTTCTTGAAAAAAAGAGTTGAGTGTGAAAGTGTCAATGATATTGATATGAGCAATTTACTTTCTTTTTTGGTTGATAAAGATAGTCATTTCATTTGTGCTGTTCTTATGGATACTTTGGTTTATTTGTCGTATCTTAATCAAAAATTACAACACAAAGACAATATAATTTTTAGAGATATAATTGAAATTGAAAATTTTTACATCCATATAAATGATATGATATTGTGTGTGGGAAATGACAACTTTAGTTCATTGCAAAATGTTTCAAAAATTATGGCATTCGATGTAGAAAGGAGAAAGATTATGATATTGAATTTGTTGACAGTATTAAAAATAAAGTTCAAAAAACGGTTTCAATTTTTGGAAAAACAATTTGATAAGCTTCAAGAAAAATGTTATTTAGCAATAGAAATAGAAAAATATTTAAATAAAGAAATAGAACTTGACAGTGATTTTGAAGTGTTAAAAGAGGGAATTGACATTATAAGAGAACAATATCATAATTCTTCAATATCTCAATTTAAAGAAGAAATCGTGCTAAGACTTGTTTTGAAAAACGGACATCTCGAAACTGATTATAAATTAGATCTTCACTCTTTGCGGTCTTTAATACCTCGGAACACGGCTCTGTGGACATTTTACTTATACTTGTTTAGCGCGTATTCAACAAGTTGCTTATCTGAGTCATCTTTTTCATTTGCAAAATTGGGTTGGAAACCTCATTTGTCAGAAATGGAATATAATTAGCGAATGTCGATGAAGGGTTCTAGAGACAATTTTGCAACTGCCCCCGATTTTCAAAAACATTCAAATGAGCAGTGAAATGATTTTGTTTAATTATTATTGATTAGTTTATTTTTTTATAAAAGATATTATTTTCTTCTTACAAAAATTTTAAAAAAATACAAAAAACATTATATTTATTGGTAATTGTTATTTGTATATGCCGTAAATATTTATTTTAATATTATTTGACAATATTTTTATTTCTCTTTACCAAATAATCGCTCTATTTATATCGGCCAATTCCATCCTGGTTTGGCACACCCTGATTTAAACACATTTTATCTAAACAAAAACAATAACCAAAATTTAAATTTTGTTTTTTGGACGTGTTTTTGCGTCTCATTTATTTTAATCGGTTAAATAACCACATTATTAACAATACATGGCATTTTTGTTATTTCACATTTGTTGTTTAAATTTCAAACTGTAAAGTTGGTAAGTTCAGGTGTTTTTGAAATGATTATTGCCGAAAATGTGGTATTATAATGTACGAATTTTAAAAAATGGACATTTTGGTTATTAAATGGTGACATGGGTTATTGGCGTTGTGATTTTGGAAACCACCAAATAAATTCAACTTAGGTAAGACAAATCAAAATTAAATGGTAAAAATTATAGTTAAAATATTATAAAATTAAAATAATAACTTTATTTAATTAGAACTATTATATATAATAGTTTAACACAAGATAAAAAATCAATTATGTTATTATATAAAATCTAATAATTTTATTGTTGTATTAATTCAAAATTGAGTCAATCAAAAATACATAAACACCAAATTAACTTGATAATTTAATGACCAAACAATTAGATAAATACTCAATGATGATCATTTCAAAATACTTTATATCCATTAATGATTATTACAATTTAATCAATGTTTGTAAAAAATTTTGGGATATTCCACTGATGTTTCACTACAATCCAATTACATTTAATTATACAACAAAAAAATATTTTAAAAACATAGAAACCCTTCATTTATATAAAAAGGCCGAAAAGTTTATTCCCGACTATTTTCAGTACTACGTCCACTACCCACTTTCTCTCACAAATTATTATAAATTAAAACAATCGAAAAACGTGATATGTCCACAAGTCAATTATTCATCTCAAGACACACACAACAAACTTTCATACAAAGATGCAACTGTTTTTCTGGGTTCTGCCTTTGCAGGGAACTGCAACGTTTTTGAAGAAATGGAGTGTCAGAACATCACCAAATTTGGATTGCGATGTTTTATACATAATCGGATTTTAAGAAAAATAACACTGTCGCCTAATTTGCATGAAATTCCAGACAACTGCTTTGAGGGGTGTTCCTCGCTTGAAAAAATCAATTTAGAAAAAGTTTATGTTTTGGGTGACAATTGTTTTAAAGATTGTTTAAAACTCAGTGAAATCACTTTTTGTGCAAATATTGTGAAAGCCGCAAAGAACGCGTTTGAAGACGCAATTTCAATCAAATTTATAACAGCTCCAAACGTAAAAAGTGTGACATTCGATGTAAACGCAAGTTCATCGAGTGCATTTTCTAATATAAAGCACAACGTCATCACAACATACAAAGACGTAATAAATGGAATTACACTTGATTTTTTATCGGACGAAATTGGTCCACAAGCTTTTATTAGGACGATGGGACTTTCCGATAAAACGATTCCCTCAACCATTCAAGTAATTCGAAAAAATGCGTTTTATGGAAGTGATTTAAAACGACTTGATTTGTCACATGTGAAGGTTTTGGAACAACAATCTTTGCTCACACAAATCACGGCAATCACCATGAATTCGTTTATTTGTTTTCATCATTTGTATCATTGCATTTCACTGAAGAACATTGAAGCTGTTGACACTAAAGTTGTTTGTGGCAAGGCGGCGTGTTGGATGAAAACTTTGTTAGACAAAAACAGTCTTGAAATATCCGAGTTTAGATACACCAAAGAAGACTTCACTGTTTTTAACGGAATTTACCCATTTGGTCTTACAAATTTAAAATCGGTTGAACCAGGTGTGGTGTTCAATGATCTCAAACAAGAAAAAATTGTCATGCCTGAGTGTTTGACAGAGTTTAATTTAAATGTCTTTTGCAAATGTAAAACATTGAAAACTTTAATTCTTCCAAAGTCATTTCAAGTAGACTATGAAAATAGAACGGTTGACATTGAAGAGCTCGCTATAATTCCAACACCAAGTCTTGCAAATTATAATTTTAGAAAACTCACATCTATAACATTTTTAAATAACAAAATTATGAACATGAAAATTTTAGACCAAAATAATTGTCTTAAAAACATCGAATTTGCTAATCCACCAGAAGACCTAAAATTTCATGGTAATATCGACTATTCTTTGTATAAATTGTTAAAAGATAATTTTAATTTTGATGGAGAAGTTGTGTTGTATAATTCTCAATATAACATTGGTGTTAAAAATGGTATATTTATGGTTCCTGATGATGTGACTTTGATTGACATTTACTTTTTAGCTCATTGCAAAGAATTAAAAGAAATTTGGATCGGTAAAAACACAAAAACTATTTCTGATAATGCATTTTATATGTGCACAAATCTTACCCTTGTCAAAAATATCAAAAAATCAATGAAATTTACGAAAAAATCGTTTCAGCAAGACAATTTGTCAAAAATCAAATTTGATTTTATTGAGTAATTTTTTTATTTGATTAAAGAATTTCGTTTTAAATAAATTAAAATTATAAAAGATGGAAGATAAAGTCAGTGACAAAGTATGAATAATCCGTTATTCAAACAATATTTTATTTTAATAGTTTCTTTTCTCTATTAATCCTGTTATTAATCCCAATAAATGGATGGTAAAGGTAAAGGGGTGCCATCACTCCAATGCTATTTTTCGTTGTTTTCCAAAAACTGAGGGGAAAAAATACTTTTAATTTTATAAAAACAAAAACACAATAGTGTGTTCATGCTTTTAGAAAAAAGTGATTTTAATAAAAAATAACTTTAACCTTAGGATTGCGGATGAATAACAAAACTAAAACAAAATACCAAAAATCTCAGAATGGCACCCTTGTCATTTTTATTACATTTCCTTAATTCGAAAAAATAAAAAAAACAAAAATCATATCATTAAATTAATAATGTCGACGCACCATTTAAAATATACACAAGTTTGAATTGCATATCAGAACAATACAAATCAATTTTTGATATCGTAAAGTCTCAATTTTTGAGAATTTGTTAACAGTGAATCACACTTGATTTTTCAAGTTTTTTTTAAGTTTTTTTTTCATATTTTTTAAATCGTCTAAAAATAAATGTTATTTTAATTACTCTACCGACATTGTAAGGTTAATAATAAAAAAGAAATGCTCACCATTGAAATCATAAACCTCATCCACAAAACTCACTAAAATTAACCAACAACAACAAATACTCAATTAAGACTTCCCAATCACGACTATTGTACTATATAGGTTCCAAACAGTTTGGTTAAGAATACGGATAAGAGAACAGTCTCACAAGTTCATTAGAATGTATTTATTTTTTACATATTCTTAATTATCTTGAAAGAATAAATTTGTTTAAACCTTCGTAGAATGGATCAAAAACAATAAATTCTGTTATTTTATTGACGTAGAAGAGTTTTGTCTCTTTTGTCATCTTATTTGGTTTGGGTCAAGGTCTACAATGTAAACAACATTAAAGTTATTGTCGAAGGTTTTGAGTTTGGTTAGTGTTGTTTGGAGAATACTGTTGTCTGGAGAAAGTCTGAAATCATTTTACAAGTCAAAGAGCATTTATTATAAACTGGTTCCGTTTTTTTAGGAAGTGTACATTTTTTTGATAGGTATGTTTTACTAAAAATATACAGGAAAACGTGCTGTTCTATTTTTATATTGCTTTCTAATTATTTTTTTTTTCAATTAATAACCAATTACAATAAACAAATTTTTCATTAATAATAAGGTTCAAACTCCTAAGGTTTTATTTTTAAAACACTGGATTTTTTTCCATTTTTTCAAATTGTTTGAAATTTGATAAATGGCCAATTGGACCTCCTTTTTGACTCACACACAATTCAAAACGTGTTTTAATTGAAAACATCAATTTGTCGACTAATGATTGTGGAATTTCATTCCAAATTTTTCTCAATAAAAAAACAATCTCTTTTCTGTTTTAATAACCGGGTAGTTTTTTCTTAACTTTCTATCCATAATTCCCCATAAATGTTCTATTGGGGATAGATCTGGAGAATTTGATGGCCATAACATCAGCCTTACACCCTTTGATTGTAAATATTTTTTAGTTGTAAGTGAACGATGAGCAGGAGCACCATCTTGTTGAAAATGCACAATGTTGTTGTTTAGTTTCTTTCTAACATCTTCGAAAAAATGACTATTTTCGAGTAATTCAATATATTCTTTTCCTCCCTCTTTTTCTGAACAACGTATTAATTTACTCTTGTATCCGACCCCGATAGCTCCCCATACCATTATTGAACAGTTGGGTTTGGGAGTTTGAGGAAAATGTTCTTTGATGGCTTTGGGAACTTTTCTGTTGCCTTTTTTTGTTAAATTCGCGTAGATTTGCTAAAAATGATTTTGGTCTCCAACACCACTTTTTGTCTGGATACAACCCAAACCGACTTTCATCACTTATTATTGTTTTTTCCCATTTTTTAATATTTTTATTCCAAAGTTGTTTTTTGGAAAATACCCATCTGTCTTTTATTTGTTTTTGAGTCAAAACTTGTGTGGATATTTGTTTGCAATATCTAAAATGATTATTTTTTCTTATTTTATCTGCGGTTGTTTTTGAACAGCCGACAATTTTTCCTACTTCAAAACATGATGAAAATGGTTTGTCGTATGTTATTTTGGATATTTCAATATTTATTGTATTTGATAAACTTTTTTCCTCTTTTTATTGGAATAACATTTTATGTTCTTCAATGCATTTTTTAATTCTTGAAATTCTTTTTGGAAAAGTTTTGAATAGTATTTGAATTTGTTTGTAGTGCCTACCAGCTTTTAAAGCATTAGCGATAAGTTCATTTATTCCCATTGTCATATTTAGTTAAGATTACAACAATTTATAGTGATTTCAAAAAGTGTAGATTAAAATTTGATTTTGTTAAGGTGTTTAATAAATAAAATACTTATATACAACAGTTTTTTAATACAATAATTATAGTTAATATTAGGTTGTGTTATAATAAACTTCTTTGTTTTTAAAATGTTAAATTGTTTTGGGTTTATAATATTCATATATGCCAACAGTTTTGACGTAATAATAAGAAGAGAATTGAAATAAAAATTTCTCGTGTTGTTTTGTTCAAAAAGTACAGGCAAATTTTATTTGTGTTAATTATTTTAGTCTATTTCTGTGCCACTATTAATCAATAATAAATCAAAAAACCCAAAAACGTTTAATTTTAGGTATAAATAATTTAGAATACTTTTCCCGATTAATTAACCAAATTTAAAAAATAACCCACTTCCGAATTTCTTTTTTTAGTTTATAAATGAAAAAGCGCCTTCAATATAATTGGAAACCATCCCTTCGCTTTGAAATGATACTATAACCCTCTCATGTGTTGTTGATTGATTAATTTTTTTTGTTTTTTCCACTTTCAATGTTGTGTGTTATTTCTTCATAGTTAAAGAGTCCTTTAATAATTTTGTTGCTTTTATTAAATCCCAAATCTTCATAAAATTGCTCCCTCAAGTGATATAAAATTTTTTGTGAGCTTTCGAAGCATTACAATGTAAACATCGTTTCGGGTGAAAATATTGACAATATGTGTTGATTAGACTTCCGGCCAGCGCATTTTATTTTGGGATATTGGTATCGAAAAATGCAATTGCCACGGGGAAACTTATTTTTACCCGGCCCGCATTTTTGCAAATATGATATTTGTTATATGTTTTGTTATTACTTTTTGTTTGAAATTTAATTATCAACTAAAACTGAAATCTAAATAAAAAATGTAAAAAATTACTATTTTTTACATTTTTTATTTAATTTAACTGATTAAAATAAACAAGACGCAAAAAAACGCGTTAAAAAAATATAATTGAAATTTTGGTTGTTGTTTTTGTTTAGATAAAATGTGTAAAAATATTTTTAGATTTTTTTTAAATAAAATAACTAACAATTCTTATGGAAACCCATTCTGCCGCACAAATCAACAAAAATAATAATTGTAATAAGTTTGTCTTTCTACTCCGATGTTGTCACTGTAATAATAAAGATTTTTCTACTCATTACTAGTGTCTGTGAAAAAAGTGGTCGATTATATTTCAGACCTAAAGCAAAAATTGCATTAGAATAGTTGTAAAAACCTAGTGTCTGATCTCTTGCTGTAATGTGAAAACTGCTGAAAGATGCCTTTTCATACAATAGCAAATTTATATGTAGATTATTTTTAGATTTTTTTTCTCAGTTTTATATTTATAGAAAAAAAAACGCAATTTTTTGCGTCTCGTGCATTTTGCCAAAGAAAAAAAATACTATTGGCCGGTTAAACAATAAAAAGACAAAATATTAAAAATAGTAATTATTTGATCGAAAATTATTCTTTATTTTTTTCTTGTAATTTACACCAACTAAGCAATTTATTCCAAAACTAACAACATGTTTCAATTTAAAATTCTTAATAATTATTAATTATCTATACATTTTGATCAATAAATTTTTTTATAATTAATTTTTTATTTTAATCCAAATTAAATTAACTTAAATTGTATCATAACTCTGTTATTCAATAAAATAATTTTTGATTCTTAAATTTTTCCAATTTTTTCAAATATTTTAATCTTTTTACTTCCTTTGAAGCGGCGTATTTCAGAAAGACGAGTTTTCTTGTTGTAGATGTTTTTAGTTTGGCTCTTTCATCTCTAAACACATTATTTACAATACTAAATACCCTTTCAGAGTCTATGCTAGATGGAGGGACTATCAAAAACTTCCTAGCAGTATCTTGAAGTAACACTTATTTGTTCTCTCTGTGGCATTTTCTCCAAAATTCTAACCCACTTGAAAATTATCCTTTTCCGTGAGAAATGAAGCTATTTCCGTTTCAATTTTTAGTTGTGGTGAATTGGCTACATTCATTGTTTCTTTTTCAATAAAAGTTATTTTAACTTGTCCAGTGGATACTCTGAATACACCACACCTTTTATTAAAATCATCTTTTAAATCTTTGAGAACTTCCTCGACAAACATCTTCTTTGCTTGTTCTTGTATTATAAATGGAATCTTTTTGTTGTATTTTGGCACTAGAAAACATGCAATTAAATAGCATTTCTCTTTTATTATTATTTCAAAGCGGAATAATAATCCTTCTGCAACAAGAATTTTTCAATTAAACTCTTCTTCCATTTGTTACACTTCTTTATTGTTATCATCTTTAAAAACATCTTTGCTGGATGTATCATCATCCAAAATATCTTCCGTTGAATTTTCACTTTCTGACAAAATATCGAGTGGGTAGTCAAACAAAAAGTTGTCATTTTCTTTTCTTTTGGTTATTGTTTTTATACTCCTTTTTTTCACTTTTTCTTTTTCTCTGGGCTGTTTTATTTGTTTGTCGTCTTTTTTTCTTCATGTTTTCCTTTTTAATAGCCCGTTTCGTTTTTTTTAAAGTAAGACTTTTTTCTACTTAAAGGGGCAGAAAAAAACCGATGT